CCCTGCCTGGTCCCAGTGACACCAGAGCCATCCCGAGCTCTGACCACTGGGATGGAGCCCCCTTGTAGCCCTGGACCCTGCTGTGGGGTGTCGGTGTGGGGACAGTGAGGAGAGGTTGCCCCAAACCCAGGTGTGCCTGAGGGCCCTGTCAGGGGCTGCCTCTCCCAGCAGGGCAATCTCCAACACTGGGTTGAGAAGGGATGGAAAGCAGTTACAAGTGTTTTAATTTGCTAATACAATCAAAGAACTGTACAGAAGACAGGCACCATGCAAACAAGCCACTGATTTATAGTGTATAGAAGTCTAAAAAGCACACAAGGCTACATTCAGGCTCTCAGACTGGCATCAAGCAGTAACCTAATGGTGTGAAAGATTTATTTCTATGCTGTCAGAGTGTATCTGGAGTCCTTCACAGCACCAAGTACATTGTTCTCACACAAACAACAGCAGTATGACTGTTTGTCTTCTGTGTCAGTGTCCTGGTTTGAAGTAAAACCAAACCAATTTTGTGTTCTGTAATTCTACATTTTAGCTGGGCCTCCTCTAACTCCCTGAAATTAACGGCATATCATGGAGAAAACTGCTCGTTCTCGGAATGATAAGACCAATGTTTGTGCTACGTGCCAAGGAAACGTATGCAGAGAGGCCCTTGCTTATGCTTATTGCTATAACAACCAAGGTCAGCCTATTTGCGTTATTTACCCCTTAGAGGGTTGGAAATGGAAAAAACATAGAGGGGTCACATCTGTGGGGAGGAACGGACAGGAGAGGTGACCCAAACCTGACCAGCTCGGGTATTCCATCCCATCTGCCCCATGCTCAGTATTAAAGCTGAGGGATCAAAGGGTCAACGGCTCTTCCTGTGATGGCTGACGTCCAAAGAGGACCCTGTCTGTTCATCTGCCTTTGATCCCGACCCATGTGTTCCTGACTCCACAGCTGGAATCCAGTTCCCATCCATCGCTGAGTCCAGTCTGGGACTTCCCCAGTGCCTGCTGGTGACGGGACTGTCATCCTGGGAGCTTGATACGGTTTTGTATATATGTTGTATCTATTTCATTATTTTGTTCTCTTTTATTTTAATATTATTTTTGATTAAAGTAGTTTAGTTAATTCTAAACTTTTCAATCTCTTTATCTCTTCCTCTCCTCTTTCGGGGGGGGGGAAGGGCCATCTGTTGGTTCGGTTGCGGTGATTTCGGCTGAAAACCACGACACCCAGTCACAGGACATGAAGTAATGGGGAAAAAGTGAATATCGCAAGTTCCACCTAAACGTGAGGAGGCGTGGGAGAACAGGATTGTGGAAGAAGCAGAGACCAGAAGAAAAAGCAGGAACACTGGCAGAGGATGGCCCATGAGCAACTCCAGACGACCTGTAAACAATGCCTGGCGCCCCTGACTGATTGAGGGGAAATTCTGCCTGCCTGGTGGTTGGGGGTTACAGGGTTGTGTCAGTTGGGAAAGAAGATACATTGGTGCTATATAAGCTGCCCGGTGGTTATACTAAACGATTCTGGTTGCATCACCGACTGGGGTCTCTGCCTTCACACACTACAAGGAGGAACTTTACTTTGAGGGTGTCAGAGCACTTGAACGGGCTGCCCAGAGAGGTGGTGGAGTCTGTGTCTCTGGAGACATTCAAAACCCACCTGGACACGTTCCTGTGCAACCTGCTCTAGGTGGACCTGCTCTGGCAGGGAGGTTGGACTAGGTGACATCCAGAAGTCCCTTCCAACCCCATATCATTCTGTGATTCTGTGGTCCTGTGATCCTGTGATCCTGTTTCCCTGACATGGTGGCTGAGTGCTGCTTTCTGACCCTTCTCCTCCTGCCTCTCCATCCACCCTGCGGCCCACCACAGGGGGCACCACCCTGCTGGGGGCATGGCCATGGGCCTCCATAGCCCCTGGGCCTGTCGGCGGCGCCTCCTCCCCAACAAATCCTGCTGCAGCCGCTCACCCACAGCACAGCCGGTGCCGAGGGCAGAGTGGGCAGGAGGGGAAGCTGGTTTGGCCACAGGTCCCATGGGGACCCAAGTGACCATCACCCCTGCTCTCTGCTGTCTGCCCCTGTGGCCCCTGCCTGGTCCCAGTGACACCAGAGCCATCCCGAGCTCTGACCACTGGGATGGAGCCCCCTTGTAGCCCTGGACCCTGCTGTGGGGTGTCGGTGTGGGGACAGTGAGGAAAGGTTGCCCCAACCCCAGGTGTGCCTGAGGGCCCTGTCAGGGGCTGCCTCTCCCAGCTGGGTGCAGTGGGATGCACGCCAGAGGCTGGAGGACTCCCACCGCTGGCAGGAAGGACCGGTGTGTAAATGGTGAGGGTGATAAAGCTCTTCTCCCAGGGACAGCTCGCCAGCGTGAAGCACTTCCCCGGCTGGGAGTGGAGGTCTGTGGTTGCCACCCTGGGCAGAGGGACCTGCCACTGCTGCACAGTGGGGCTGGGAGACTGCGGGGCTGCTGGAGGAGGCTGGGCAGGGGCCAGGAGTGCCCTCCCTCTATCTTTCTCTTCAGGGTTGCTCTCAACCCTTTTGCTGCCCACCTATAGTTGTTCTTGGAATGGACTAAGGTGCAAGCCCTTGCGCTTGGCCTGGCTGAACTTCATGAGGTTCACACGGGCCTACCTCTCAAGCCTGACAGTGGGGCTGGGAGACTGCGGGGCTGCTGGAGGAGGCTGGGCAGGGGCCAGGAGTGCCCTCCCTCTATCTTTCTCTTCAGGGTTGCTCTCAACCCTTTTGCTGCCCACCTATAGTTGTTCTTGGAATGGACTAAGGTGCAAGCCCTTGCGCTTGGCCTGGCTGAACTTCATGAGGTTCACACGGGCCTACCTCTCAAGCCTGTCCGGGTTCCTCTGAATGGAGTCTTTTCCCTCCAGCATGTCAACCGCGCCACACAGCTTGGTGTCGTCAGGTGAGGGTGCAGTTGCTGAAGGTACACTCAGTCCCACTGTCTATGTGTCCAACAGCGCTGGTCCCAGTACTGACCCCTGAGGAACGCCACTCATCACTGGTCACCATTTGGACATCGAGCTGTTAACTGTGTCCATCCAGCCAGTGGTCCATCCCCTGAGTGGTCCATCTGTCAAATCCGTGTCTTTCCAATGCAGAGGGTAGGATGTTGTGCGGGACAGCGTCAAATGCTTTGCATAAATCCAGGGAAATGACATCTGTTGCTCTCTGCTTATCTACCAAGGCTGTAAGACCACTGGAAAGGTCCACCAAATTTGTCAGGTATGACTTGCCCTTGGTCATCTCCTTATTTTCCACGTGTTGTAGCAGAGATTCCAGTATTTGCTCCATGACCTTGACAGGCACAGAGGTGAGACTGAGCAGCCTGTAGTTCCCCAGCTCTTCCTTTTTAGAGTTTTTGGAAGTGGGGGTTATGCTTCCCCTCCTCCAGTCAGTGGGAACTTCTCCAGGCCACCACGACTTCTCAAGTATCATGGAAAGCAGCTTAGCAACTTCATCCGCAGAAGCATGTCATGTACTTCTTTTTCACATGTATAACACTTTTGCTGAAACCAGAGCCTGAATAATCAGGATGCTTCCACCATTTTGTTACCTTTGCACCTGAATTTGGGCAGCATGGAGGGCCCTGAACACTGTCAACATCTGAAAGAGCGTGGCAGATGGGATGCCATAGCAGTTTTGGGTCAGTTTTGTTTCACCTGTCCTGTCCCCTTCTCCCCACAGGTGCCAAGCCTCCATGGGGCAAACAAGCGAGTCAGCTGGCCCTGACTGCCACAGCAACAAGGATAAACAAGAGCATCTCGCACTGAACAGGATGTTGGCTCTGCTCCACCCCAAACCACCACACTTCCTAGAAAGAATATGGAACTTAACCGCTGATAAGAGGATACATAGATTTTGGAGAGACAACATTAGGACACCCTTTCAAATGCTGCCATTTGATGTGGCTTAAGAGTGTGTGTTTGAATCCGTAACACAGGAGAAACGTTTTCCTCAGTACACGAGTTAACTGGAGCCACTGTACACCTGCTCCAGAGCAGTGGTTCTTTGCAGTACTAGGGTCCACCTGGACGCATTTGACTTGAACCCAGGATGGTAAGGAAACTCCCTGGCTGTACAACTATCCTGTTCCTCACAGGTCCTCTTTGGATGACTGTGTTCTCTGCGATTCACAGGACCACCTTGGTTCTGTGTTTTTTGCCCCTGGTTCACTCAGCAAGTTAGGAACGTGGACTGTGGATAACAAACCATCCCACAGGACCACAGAAGAGCTCAGGTCAAAAGGAGCCTTGGGAGGCCTCTGGTCCAACCTCCTGCCCAAAGTAGGGTCAGACGTGGGCTCGCACCAGGGGATCCTGGGCTATTGCCAGATGGGGCTTGAAACCCTTCAGGCATGGAGATGGCAACCTGCCCCACTGCCATACTGCCCTCATGGGGAAGGGTGGTCCCTGGTCTCCCACCTGAACTCCCCAGTTTCAGCTGTTGCTGTGCAACAGTGGGATGGCTGGCCCACTGTGACATCACTGTGTCACGGAGGGTGATGTAACCCCGTGGTGGATTGTGACCTCATGTCCCTGGCTGCTTATCTTGGGGCGCCGGCAGAGCCTGGCTCGTGCCTGGACTCCTGCCGAGCGTGCCTGCGAGGCGTGGAGGTGCGAGCGAGGCTTCTCCTGGTGCTGGGTAGTGCCTTGGGGGCTGCCATTGGCAGCTCTCGGTGCCTGTGCCGGAGCCACCCCCTGTGTTTCCCTGGGGCTGCCTGGTTCAGGCAGCCGGACACCGCGGGATGCACTCACAGAGTGGAGGTGAGCTGTGGGGGCAACATCCCCCTGGGGTGGCAGTGGGGTGGGTAATGGGCCTTGGGGTGCCAGCAGGGTGTCTTTCTCCAGGGACTTGGGCACATCTTCCTGGGACAGCAAATGAGCATGGCCTCTCTCCATTTTGCAGTGCTCAACACCCTTTGGCAGAACTGTCACCAGTGAGGAGGAGCAGCTTCTCAGCCTCAGCTCTCCCCATCCTGCCGTGGAGCACAAACATGGCCACCAAGACAGAGTGGAGCTGCCCCATCTGCTGCGATACTGAAGATGGCATCGCCCATGTGACCCCCTGTCACCACCACTTCTGCCTGGGATGCATCATGAGGTGGGCAGCAAGGACATCAAATTGCCCACTCTGTCGAGGACCCATGGACGAAGTCAGGTTTTCCGTGCGGGGAGAAAACGACTATCTACAGTGTGTTGTGTCCTCAGAAGTGTCACCACAGGACAACAGCCAGGCAGACAGAGCTCCCGATGATCTGGCCAACAGCAGCCTCCATCACGCTGCTCCATCCCCTCCGTCCTCTCCACAGGAGACGGCATACCAGGAAGAGCAGGGGGCTGCCGGAACAGAGGCCAGGGATATCATGAGTGGCCTCCAGCCCGCGGTCTGGGCGGAACTTTTCCGGCAAGACAAGCGTCTCCTCAACCCCGTGCTGCCCTGGCTGCGCCAGCGTCTGGAGGCAATCTTTGGGGAGCAGTGGTGGCTGGCAACAGGAATAGAAGCCCTGCTCTTGCAGGCCCTGTGCTTCTGTGGGCTGGACGAGGAGGCCATGCTTGAGCAACTGCAGCCTGGCCTTCAGGAACATACAGCATCCCTGGTCCATGACCTCATCGACGTTGTCATGCATCGGTGCAGCGATGAGGCCTTGAGGATGCTGCAGTCCTTCTCTGCCAGCCAAGAGGAGGAGGATGATGGACATGCAGCCAACTCCGACTCCACCACCTCCAGCTCCACCACCTCCAGGAGCTCCAGCCCCACCACCTCCAGCAGCTCCAGCTCCACCAGCTCCAGCAGCTCCCGAGAGGAGACTCCAGACTCCCACCCAGCCTCCTCCAGCAGCCCTGAAGACTCTGATGTGGAAGAGCACCCCAGCACATTGGAGGCCGCTCTGCAGAGGGGTCCCAGCCGCCCTCCGTCTGTGCCTGTCCCTGTGGAGCAGGAGCAGCCCCAGGAAGAGCCAGAGGAGGCGGTGGCAGGTCCCTCTGCCCAGGGCCGCAGCTCCAGACCCTCCGCTCCCAGCCAGGGTAGGGACCGCTCAGGCAGGGGGCCTCGGCAGCCCCCAAAAATAAGGGCCTCCAACCCTCAGGACTCTCCTCAGCCCCCCAAGAGGCCGCCCCGCCGGCGGCATTAGCCGGGCTCCAGCAGCTCCTCCATCCAGTAAAATAAAATGTAATTACCTGCATGGTTGAGCAGGGTGCTTATAAAAATGTTCAAATGGGAGAAGGGAATTTACAGTGCATGGAGGAGGGCACTGACCACTTGGGAAGATTACAAGAATGTGGTTAGTGTATGCAGGGATGAAACCAGGAAAGCCAAGGCCTCCTTACAATTAGACCTGGCAAGGGACATTAATGTCAACAGGAAGGGTGTCTTCAAGTGAGCAGGCAGTGTGCACTTGCAGCCCAGAAGGCCAATCGCATCCTGGGCTGCATCAAAAGATGCATTGCTAGCAGGTCCAGAGAGGTGATTCTTCCACTTTACTCTGCTCTGGTGAGACCAGAAAAACGTAGAGGGGTCACATCTGTGGGGAGGAACGTGGGGCTGGATGATTGTGGCACAACCTGAGCTCTGATAAGATTGTTTGAATAGTTTGAATTCCAGCTTGTTTAGAGAGAACCGACAGCTTACATCATGTCGTTCCTACAGAACATTTTATATTATGTTGTCAGAGAGCTTTGTATGAAATTTGTTAATGCGCTGGTGTTTGACTGGTCGAATACATTGAAGGGTTTATTTGTTTTTTGTGTTTGGATGAGATGGGTCAAGCGTGCTATGTTCGTGTGGATTTGCCTCCAGATGTATAATGTGATCAGTTGGATTGCTGTGATACCTGAATATCTTGGGCATCAGGTGGTGGATTCTGTTGCTAATTTTACTTCTGATTTCACCTGGGGAAAGTTTACCTTGCCTGTTAGTGGTTATCCCAAAGTGGGAAGATGAAAAAGAGGTTGTCCCCTGCCCTTGACGACAAGGACATGCCTAAGCTAGAGAGCACGGAAGAGGGTTCTTCTGATGAAGATCAAGGAAAGGGTCCTGCTAGTGTAGATAAGGACAGCAACCTCCTACAGCAGCCCCTTCCCAGGTACAAAGGGGAGAGGGTCCTTCTCAGCCAGCCTCAATACAGGATAATGCCTCAGATGGAGATGTAATTATTAGTTCTTTATCTATGAAGGATTTACGAAATCTGAGGAAAGATTTTACTCGTCATGATGGGGAGCCACTTCTCTCTTGGTTGCTCCGATGCTGGGACAGTGGAGCTAATTCCATAGACTTAGATGGTAGAGAGGCCAATCAGCTAGGAAATCTGGCCAAAGAGGGAGGTATTCATAAAGCAATTGGGAATAAAGCAGACGTTCTTAGTCTCTGGAGGTGACTGCTATCAGCTGTAAAGAGCAGATATCCCTTTAAGGATGATATCCAATGCCGTCCAAGCAAATGGACCAGCATGGAGAAAGGTATTAAGTACCTGAGAGAACTGGCTATTCGGGAGGTGATTTATGATGATTGGCAAGTGACTCTAAATCCTGGTGAAATGCCATGCCAACGACCTTTGTTGAAAAAGTTTGTGCAGAGTGCACCATCGGTGTTTTCCCACACTTTGTCAACAATGGTCTGGGGAGGATCCGATACTGATACGCCAACTGTAAATGAGGTCGCTGACAGGGTACGACAGTATGAAGATAGTCTCTCTCATCCCATCGGTGTTGCAGCAATAGAAAATCTGACTAAGACAGTGTCTGAACAAAATAAGATCCAGACTGAGAAGATAGAGAATATAGCTAAGACACAGAAGGAGACAATGGAGAACATGAGCAAGACACAAAATAAGACAATGACTGAGACAATAGAGAAAATGACCAAGGCAATAGTTCAGCAAAATGAGACAATTCTTCACAAACTGCTTGAAAAACTCTCTGCGATACTGATACGCCAACTGTAAATGAGGTCGCTGACAGGGTACGACAGTATGAAGATAGTCTCTCTCATCCCATCGGTGTTGCAGCAATAGAAAATCTGACTAAGACAGTGTCTGAACAAAATAAGATCCAGACTGAGAAGATAGAGAATATAGCTAAGACACAGAAGGAGACAATGGAGAACATGAGCAAGACACAAAATAAGACAATGACTGAGACAATAGAGAAAATGACCAAGGCAATAGTTCAGCAAAATGAGACAATTCTTCACAAACTGCTTGAAAAACTCTCTGAGATTGGGAAAGAATCTTACTCTTCCCCAGCTCAGACCCAAGTTGCAGCTCAGGCTCAAATTCCTGATCAGACCCAAGTTCAAGCTCAAATTCCAGCCCAAGCTCCAGTTGCAGCTCAGGCTCAACTTCCTGATCAAACCCAAGGAGCAGCTAGGACCAAAGTCACAGCCATTAAGAAAAAATACCGTCCTATGAGACCAACCAAAGGGAAACAGGACTCACTCCGAGGTTTCCTGTGGCTTTGCCTCTGCAATTATGGAGAGAACATGAGGAGATGGGATAAAAAACCAACTTCAGCCCTACAGGCACGGGTGCTTGAGTTGCAAGGTAAAGCAGACAGAAGAAAGGATTGTTACATGAACATGGCTGCTCCAGTTCAGGGTATGCCCTGTCCCTGGCCAGACAGGAACCCACCTTACAATTATAGATGCTGGCCTCAGCATTAGGGTTGCCCTGCCTCCAGCCAGGAGGAGGAGAGGGATAACCGAGTTTATTGGACTGTGTGGATTCGATGGCCTGGCACATTAGAGCCACGAAAGTATAGAGCCCTGGTGGACACTGGTGCACAGGGCACCCTAATGCCATCGAATCATAGAGGGACAGAAACTGTCACTATTGCTGGAGTGACAGGAGGATCTCAAGAACTGACTGTACTAGAGGCTGAAGTGAGTCTGAATAAGAATGAATGGGAAAAACATCCTATTGTGACTGGTCCAGATGCTCCATGCATCCTTGGCATAGACTACCTCAAGAGAGGGTATTTCAAAGACCCGAAAGGGTATCGGTGGGCTTTTGGTATAGCAGCTGTAGAGACTAAGGGTATTACACAGCTGTCTACTTTACCTGGCCTTTCAGATGACCCTTCTGTGGTAGGACTGCTGAAGGTTAAAGAACAGCAGGTACCACTTGCTACTTCCACAGTGCATCGTGGGCAGTATCGCACTAACCGTGATTCTCTGATTCCCATCCAGAACCTGATCCGTCGGCTGGAGACCCAAGGAGTGATCAGCAAGACTCGCTCACCCTTTAACAGCCCGATATGGCCAGTGCGAAAGTCTGATGGAGACTGGCGTCTAACCGTAGACTATCGTGGCCTGAATGAAGTCACACCACCACTGAGTGCTGCTGTGCCAGACATGCTGGAACTGCAATAAGAACTGGAGTCAAAAGCAGCCAGGTGGTATGCTACAACTGACATTGCTAATGCCTTTTTCTCTATTCCTTTAGCAGCAGAGTGCAGGCCACAGTTTGCTTTCACCTGGAGGGGTGTCCAGTACACCTGGAATCGACTGCCCCAGGGGTGGAAACACAGCCCTACTATTTGCCATGGACTGATCCAGACTGCACTGGAGAAGGGTGGAGCTCCAGAACACCTACAATACATTGATGACATCATTGTTTGGGGTAATACAGCAAAAGAAGTTTTCCAGAAAGGTAAGAAAATCATCGAGATTCTTCTAGAAGCAGGTTTTGCTGTGAAAAGAGGTAAGGTCAAGGGACCTGCACAAGACATCCAATTCTTGGGAATTGAATGGCAAGATGGCCGTCGCCAGATTCCAATGGATGTGATTAACAAAATAACAGCTATGTCTCCACCTACTAACAAAAACGAAACACAAGCCTTTTTAGGTGTTGTGGGCTTCTGGAGAATGCATATTCCAGGTTATAGTCAGATTGTGAAACCTCTTTATGAAGTGACTCGAAAGAAAAATGAGTTCACATGGGGTCCTGAACAACGACAAGCCTTTGAGCAAATTAAACAAGAGATTGTGCGTGCAGTAGCACTTGGACCAGTCCGAAGAGGACAGGACATTAAAAATGTGCTGTACACTGCTGCAGGAGACAATGGCCCTACCTGGAGCCTATGGCAGAAAGGACCAGGGGAAACTCGAGGTCGACCCCTGGGATTTTGGAGTCAATTGAATGGCAAGATGGCCGTCGCCAGATTCCAATGGATGTGATTAACAAAATAACAGCTATGTCTCCACCTACTAACAAAAACGAAACACAAGCCTTTTTAGGTGTTGTGGGCTTCTGGAGAATGCATATTCCAGGTTATAAAGAAGAGGTGAAACCTCTTTATGAAGTGACTCGAAAGAAAAATGAGTTTACATGGGGTCCTGAACAACGACAAGCCTTTGAGCAAATTAAACAAGAGATTGTGCGTGCAGTAGCACTTGGACCAGTCCGAAGAGGACAGGACATTAAAAATGTGCTGTACACTGCTGCAGGAGACAATGGCCCTACCTGGAGCCTATGGCAGAAAGGACCAGGGGAAACTCGAGGTCGACCCCTGGGATTTTGGAGTTGAGGCTATAAAGGCTCCCAGGCCAACTATACTCCAACTGAGAAAGAAATCTTAGCAGCATATGAAGGAGTTAGAGCTGCTTCAGAAGTAATTGGTACTGAAGTACAGCTCCTCCTGGCGCCCCGATTGCCAGTGTTGGGTTGGATGTTCAAAGGTAAAGTTCCTTCTACACATCATGCCACTGATGCTACCTGGAGTAAGTGGGTTGCCTTAATCACACAGCGAGCTCGAATAGGAAATCCAAATCGTCCAGGAATTGTGGAAGTGATCACAAACTGGCCCGAAGGCGAAGATTTCACAATGCCACCAGAGGAGGTGGTAGCACGTGCTGAGGAAGCCCCACCATATAATGAACTATCAGATAATGAGAAACAGTATGTTTTGTTTACTGATGGATCTTGTCGTATTGTAGGAAAACGTCGAAAGTGGAAAGCTGCTGTATGGAGTCCTACGCGACGAGTTGCAGAAGCAACTGAAGGTGAAGGTGAATCAAGTCAATTCGCAGAGGTAAAAGCTATCCAGCTGGCCCTAGACATTGCTGAGAGAGAGAAGTGGCCAATACTCTATCTCTATACTGACTCATGGATGGTGGCAAACGCTCTGTGGGGATGGTTAAAACAATGGAAGAAGAGCAACTGGCAGCACAAGGGTAAACCTGTTTGGGCTGCTGAATTATGGCAAGATATTGCTGACCAGCTAGAGAGGCTAGTCGTGAAGGTACGCCATGTAGATGCTCACGTACCTATGAGTCGAGCCACTGAGGAACATCAAAACAATCAGCAAGCGGACCAAGCAGCTAAGATTTTCCAGACGGATTTAGACTGGGAACATAAAGGTGAACTGTTCTTAGCTCGGTGGTCCCATGACACTTCAGGTCATCAAGGAAGAGATGCAACGTACAAATGGGCTCGTGACCGAGGGGTGGATTTAACCATGGAGGCTCTCGCGCAGGTTATCCACGATTGTGAAACATGTGCCGAAATCAAGCAAGCTAAAAGGTTAAAACCTTTGTGGCATGGAGGTCGGTGGTTGAAATACAAGCATGGGGAGGCTTGGTAGATTGACTACATCACACTCCCCCAAACACGCCAGGGTAAGCGGTATGTGCTTACAATGGTGGAAGGAAGCACCATGCTGTGCCCCATGCCACTGCCCGGAATACCATCCTGGGCCTTGAAAAGCAGGTTTTGTGGCGACATGGTACTCCAGAAAGAATTGAATCTGACAATGGAACTCATTTCAAAAATAATCTTATAAGTAGCTGGGCAAAAGAACATGGCATTGAGTGGGTATATCATATCCCCTATCATGCACCAGCTTCTGGCAAAATTCAGCGATACAATGGATTATTGAAAACTACCCTGAAAGCAACTGGGGGGTGGAACCTTTAAAAATTGGGACAAGCATTTGGCACAAGCTACCTGGTTAGTCAACACCAGGGGATCTATCAATCGAGCTGGTCCTGCTCAATCAGATCTTTTACATAATGTAGAAGGGGATAAAGTCCCTGTGGTGCATGAAAGGAATATGTTAGGGAAAACTGTTTGGGTTTTTCCTGCCTCGGGCAAAGGCAAACCCATTCGTGGGACTGTTTTTGCTCAAGGACCTGGATGTGCTTGGTGGGTGATGCTGAAGAATGGAGAAGTTCAATGTGTACCTCAGGAGAATTTGACCCTGGATGAGAATACTTAATTCTGAGTATGATGTTAGTCGTCTATAATACTAACAGTGTTCTATAAGTGTTTTTCAGGATAACACTGCAATGATGAAACCCAGCCGGATTGATTAGGGGGCGTCCAGTAAAACTTCTCTGAGATGGACATGTTACCCATAGGCATGAACCACAATGAATTTCACACCTTCTTTCCTGTCCTGAGAACCTGATCTGCTATGAAATGGACTTTTGGAGATAAATCACAGCTGAGTGACTTACATATATCTACCTATATATGTATGTATGTATAGATTTTATAGATGATAATATCTGTGATCTAAGCATGATGCAAATAGTAAGGAATAAGGGGTGGAATGTCCTGGTTTGAAATAAAACCGAACCAATTTTGTGCTCTGTAATTTTACATTTCAGCTGGGCCTCCTCTAACTCTGAAATTAACAGCATGTTGTGGAGAAAACCGCTCGTTCTCAGAGCGGTAAGACCAACGTTTGTGCTACGTGCCAAGGAATGGTGTGCAGAGAGGCCCTTGCTTATGCTTATTGCTATAACAACCAAGGTCAGCCTATTTGAGTTATTTGCCCCTTAGAGGGTCGGAAATGGAAAAAACATAGAGGGGTGGCATCGGTGGGGAGGAACAGACAGGAGAGGTGACCCATCCTGACCAACTGGGGTATTCCAACTCTGGAGGACTTCCCTAGTGCCTGCCGGTGACAAGACTGTTGTCCTGGGAGCTTGATACGGTTTTGTAGATATTTTATCTATTTCATTATTTTTTTATTTTAATATTAATTCTTCATTAGTTTAGTTCATTCTAAACTTTTGAATCTCCTTATCTCTTCCTCTCCTCTTTCTGGGTGGTGGGGGGGAAGGGCCATCTGTCGGTCCGGTTGCAGTGATTTCGGCTGAAACCGCGACAGTCAGAAATCCCTGTACAGTACAACACTGAGTAGTCAGCAGATGGCTCTTTTGTTTGCATCGAGTACGTGGCTTGTTTCTCTCAGTTACTGTCTCCTTCTCGGTCTGCTCAGGCTCAAATTCAGACACAGACCAGGCAGGCAGGCTCTCAAAACACAGACCTTCACTCAGGAACACAGCAGAGTACTCTCTTAGCCTAAGTATTTCTTTCCGCATCCACTGCGGAAAATTCTGCTCATGGGTTTGTCAAGACACTTTTAGCAGTCAGGAATGAGCTCGGGCATTTATAGGCTTTGAGACAGCTCAGATTGTGCGCGCCAGCAAGAGAGACAGGCTCACGAAGCAAATGGTTTCTTCTATCCCTCCACTGCTCACAGCTAGGAAGGCACATGGTAGCTTCAGGACTGATAATGAGGGGGTCCTTTGACGTGAAATGGTAGACAGACAGTTCCAGCACCTCATTTGGTGCTGATCTCATACCCTGGCATTCCAGAACAGGAATTCCTCCTTCCACCCCCAATCTGTTCTTAATTGTTCAGAGATTATCAGGTGATGAATCCTGTGAGAAGCTTTCGCATGGACGCTCCTTTTCGTATTGTTATTCTCCACTGAACAAAGTGCTTTAGTGGTTTGGACACCAAAGCAGTTCAACCTTAGAGAATCACGAGACATTTAGCAAGCATTTCCCAAAAAGCAAATGCATTACTTCTGTGGAGATGGAGACCTTCTGGCTCCTAAAATTCTTGATAAACACGTTGTTTTACATCTCATGGATTGACAGACTGATTCAGGATAACAAGCGCCTCATTTTTCACTGTAGACAGGTGGAACATGCAAGTTCCAAATCATAACCACCTAAGGATGAGATGTGACAGAAGTAGTGACTGCACAATGGTAAGTGGTTTTATTTCTAAGTTTTCAGTACTAGATCTTACAAGTATTTCTACCTCTTCCTAATTTCCACCTGAAGAAAAAACTTCCGGGCAAAGAAAATCAATTCTGTTTAGAAATGCCACTGTGCTACTTACCCCTTAATCACTGACGTTACTTGCTGAAATTAAAGATATCCCAGCAGAGTAAAAGAATTCATCTTGGCAACCTGTCATGGCAGTCCCACAGCCAGAGAATATCAAGGAAGCGACATCCAGCTAGACACCAACACAGAGCAAAACCAGGAACCGCACGCGCGGGGTTGTGCATCTGCTTTGTTCCACATGCACCGAATGGTCTGAAAAACACAGGCTCGCTGTGAAAGACTGCCCTCCCTGTTTCTTCCAAGAGAGCAACCTTGGTACCTAATTTTTAAGCCCTCCCTGTTAGAGTCTACAGAGACCCCGCTATGCGATTTCTCCTGCCTTCTGACAACTCACCCAAGGGGCTCCACCAGTTTTCTCCTCCAGGCAAGCCTGGGAGTGAGGTCACTGTATGAAATCTGTATAATATTAATGATTTCTGTTATTCCTTTCTTCCCATCCCAGACAGAGTGAACAAGATCGTTGAGTTCTATGGCTCATCTGAAAATAGTAAGGGCTTTCTAGTAACATTTTCTAAAATTACTTCAGCCTACACTTTTAGAAAATTAATGTTCTTACTCATCTGGATGATCTGCTTAAAAAAAAAACCAAACCACCACACAATTAAACTTTTGGGGAGGGCTCTTTCCTCTTAAAAAGATTTTGCAAAAACACTAGTAAATGCTTTTAGCTGCAGGAGAGATGGGAAAGTAAGCCCATTGTAGAAGCAATATTTTTCAAAGTAAACAAATGAGTGGTTGCTTCCATACCAAGCAGTGGAGGCCAGACAATTTTATAAGAAATAACACAGTGGTGCATAGGGATTTATACTACACATGGCTCAAAAATCTTTTTTTTTCTATTTAGGGTAACGTAACACTTCACCAGGTAAGAATTGTCAGTTAACTCTACCTGATTCTGCAACTTGTTTTCCTCACACATCAGAACCTAAGAAATAAATACATTTAAGCCTAATTTAACTTTTGTTGACATCACTGATGAATTTTTAAAGAACTCACAGAGTCAGACAAGTTTGCTTTATTAATTTCT